CCTGTGTATATTCTTCAGGAAGCTCTAGTAGATCTGTTGGATTTACTGTCATATAGCTATCTGGGAACAATGCAGGTCCCTTATCTGTAAATCAGTATATATATATCATCCTGTAATTAACTACTGCCACACTAATATTTTTCCTATCAAGATTTATTTGTGTATGCATATTATCCTGTGATTAACTGCTGCTACATTACCAATGTCCGATTGACTTAGTGCAACTTAACTTACAGGGTTACAACCCCAGAAATAAACAGAGTTTGCCATAAGTTGGATACAAGGTTTGAGAAATTATTCAAATTCATCGACAGTAGGATTTGAACCCCAGATCTATTGCATGGCGGTCTGGTAACCTAACTACTACACTAAGATCACCAGATCTATCTAATAATAAATATTTACCTTCTAATATATTAATATATCTATATCATAATTTATTAGTGGTTTATTTAAATATTTTACAAGTTTATCAAATTCAATATGTTTTCTTTTTTCAGATATATAAGCAATAAGTCTACTTGATTTGTTATTTGTTTGTCTATTATTTTAATTTTCTATTTGTTTATATTTATTTTTCCATAAATTAATTATTTGCTGTTTATATATTTCAATTAATTCATCATCAAGTTCTTGATCTTTAAAATATTGTAACTTAAGATGTAGATCAATAACTATTAATATAATATAATAATAAATTAGTTATTAATTATTTAATAAATATATTAAAAATACTTACTTGTAGAAATAATATAAACAAGTCCATTAGTTGTTGAAAAATATTTATTTAATTTATTTTTAGCCTTATTAATAGCAGAAATAATATCATTAGAATAAGAATTTTTATTTAAAAATTTTTCAATCATATTTAATAAATAATTATAAATAGGAATTGAATAACTAAGTATTAGATAATTTGATACACTTATTTCAAGAGTAGCTTCTTTAAAACACTAATAAAAATTTAAAAATAAATAATATATTTATAAATTATTTTATATTATAAATTATTTTTACTTACTTCTAATAAATTTTTTATTTCTTTTAATTTATCTTATTCAATATTTGTTAATGAAAATTTTAAAAGACTTCTATCAGTTAATACTAATTTATCTAATGGCTAAAATATAAATTAATATTTAGTAAATAAAATTAAATAATTATATATAAAAAATTTACTTGTTGTAAAATTAAAGCTCTTTCTAACATATCATATGTTGAATTCTAGCATGTTTTTACATCAATAATTAATTCTAATTGTTTAATATTTAAACTATAATATTGTCTTTTAAAACGTTCACATTTTTGTGGAGATTTATGAATTTTAATTATTATTTTTATTAACTATAAATATAAAATTATATTATTAATAAAATTATTAGAGTTATTTAAAATATTTTATATTAAAAATATAAAATTTATTGTTAATTTTATATTTAAATATAAATATTATAAATATTTTATAAAATAAATAATATATTTAAAATAAATTAATTATAAAAATTATACTTTTCCAAGTGCACCTAAAGTGTTGATATTAGTTATTTCATCATTATTGTCTTCTTCTGAATTATCACTTTCATCATCATTATGATTATTATAAAAAGATTTTAAAATTTCTTGAACAGCTAGATTTATAATATGAGCAAGACAATATATATGTTGATTTTTAGAATCAAATTCTAATTCTTCATTATTAAAATTTTCTTCTAAATTATTAAACATTAAATGCATATTTTTAGCATTATCTATAGTAATACCTAAAATCTAAAAATAAAATAATAATTAATTATTAATTAATTTTTTTATAAATAATAAAATATAAATACTTTTGTTAAAAGATTATTTTCTTTTAATATTTTAAAAAATACTTCAGCTAAATTTTTGTCTGAATGAGAGCCTTCAAAATGACTAAATTCAAGAGTACAATATTGAAGTTGCCAATTATTTGAAATCTAATGAGCAGTTATTCCTAAATAAGATTTTTGATTTTTAGATATCCAACAATCAAGAGTAAATGAAATTTTGCTAGAAATTTCTTGAAATATTTTTTGTAAATTAGCTTGTTCATTACTAAAAATTTTAAGAATTCTATTAGTAATAGTATCTGCTGAAGGAATATTTGTTTCCTTATTAAGTCTTTTAATCATAATTTGAAAAAATTTATTTTCAACAATAGTAAAAGATTGATCATCAGAAATAATCCAATTAATTAAATCTTTAAGCTAATCTTCTTGAGTAAATAACTATTTAAATAATATTTAAATTAATTATTATTATTAATAAAAAAATAAATAATATAAAATATTTACAAATTCATCTTTTCTAATAAATTTATCTAATGCTCTAATAACTTTTTCTTTTGCAATTAATCTTTTATAATTTTTTTCAAGATGTCTTTTTAAAGCTGATGTTAATTTATCTTTTGGTATTTTATAGGTTTGACTAAAAATTTAATAAATAAATAAATAAATTTAATTAATATTAAATAAATAATAATAAATTATATAAATAATATAAAAATTTAATAAATAAATAAATTTAATCAATATTAAATAAATAATAATAAATTAAATAAATAATAATAAATTATTTTTTTTTTTTATTGTTTAAGGCGGCTTACATTGCCAACAGGATTTTATTAGTATTTGCATACAGAATTATACATTGATAATCCCTACTGTTTGTAATTACATGAAGAGTGTACAACAAGCCACACGTACAATTTTAGTCATTGTCTAATTTAAGTAGTCTGCCGCACAGGCGATTAGACCACCCAATTGGTTCTACACTATGCTGCCATACCTGTAACCCACCTGTGAGTTACCTATTTAAACACACTGTTCATTAACCCATACAGATCCAACCTAATGTTACCACAACACCTAACTGCTTACAAATTCAAATAATTTTCTAAAATTACAACTCATCTCAACAAATGCAAACTTAATACTTATTTTACTAATACTTACTAATATACAAATTAACTATAACCAAATAATCAATATAAATGTAAAATACAAAAAGAAAAAAACTAATTTAGACTTAGTATAAATTAACAAAAAATATAAGTATCACAAAACATCTACTATTCCTTAACAAAACTTCTAATATCTTCTATACCAAATATTACAATTTCTTCATTTGATATAACTCTTATTCAAAATTCTATAAAAAATTCTATATATCATGCTCATCTAATTTTATAATCAAATTCTATATCTAAATTCTATAAATCTTCACTTCTATATAGATATCTCAATTAAAAGCTCTCAAACACTAAATATTCAAACTAGCATTACTTAGATTTTTCAAAATAATACTCAAATAAAATTCAATATATCTATACTATTTATACCAAATTCTATAAGAGCTGAACTTGCAATACTTATTTATCTATTTCTAACTCTACTCTCAAATTACAAAAAATATATATATCTTAACAATTTATCTGCAATTCAAATATTCAAAAACAATTTACTTTATAATTACTAAACTCAAATCAAAACAAATAACTAAAATATTATATATATTCTTAATTACTTAATCTAAAAAAAAAATATTTAATATACTACTCATAAAATTAAATCATACTCTAACAACTCTTTTCACAATATTGCTAACTCTTTTGCTAAGTAAAGTGTTAACAAAACAGAAATTTAATCTAATACTGACTTCTTTAATCTATTCTATTCTTTATATAGAACCAAATACTAATTTTATGCAAAATCAATAAACTTTATACAAATATATTTTTAAATCAAACTTTCAACAAACTTCTATAACTAAAAATTCTTTATAACTTATAACTATTTAATATTCTTCAACTTACTAATATAATAAATTCTTAAAATAATAATTTTAATCTATATTTATTCAGAAAGAAAATAATTCTAAACAATTTACTCACAATATTTAATCTAAATATTTGCTATCTATATTTAACTTCTAATTACTCTTTCTATAACTAACATAAAAATACTAAATATCTTCTCTTTTATATACTTCATAACAGACTTACAAAATATACTTTTGAACTAAATAACAAATACTCTCAATATACTCAACATAACTACTATCCTATTACAAACTATTCTTCAATTAATTATCTCATATTACAACTCTCAAAATCTTATAATTATCTTTTTACTTTTTATCTAATATAATCACTATTGTTATGTTGCTTCTACTTCTTTAGAGAACAACTAACTAGAGAGACTAATAACAGAAAATACTTTGTGTAACATTCTTGTTACTGTATTTTGTCAAAGTCTTTAGAGTGTTTTTACAAAACTTAACAAAGAAAATTTAGGGTAATTTGCAATTATGAAAGAGGCAATAATTAAAGATATATGAAGATATCAATAAATGTTTATTTCAAAGTATCAG